GGCCTCACCAGTGCCGAGTACAGGGGCACGATCACTTCCCTACTCCTGCTGGCCACACTATTTCTGATACAGGCCAGGATGCCATTGGCCTTCTTGGCTGCCTGGGCACACTGCCGGCTCATGTTCAGCCGGCTGTCGACCAACACCCCCAGGTCCTTTTCCGCCAGGCAGCTTTCCAGCCACCCTTCCCCAAGCCTGTAGCACTGCAGGCCCAGTTTGCCATTTACAGCACATGGAAGAGGGAGATGAGTCCTTCCCTCTGACATGCCGGTGGACACAAGGATGCTGAAGCTGCGCTGCAGATTAGAGGTCTACACCAGCTTCCAGCGAGTAGCTGTTTGCAGCTTTCCATCCCATCCCACAGCCCTCTCTACCATCTGGATGACAGTTTTTTCCCTGTAGCCAGATACTCAAAAGTTTTCACCTACCAGCGTTTGAGGGACTGGAGGCAGCGGTTTCACAGACCCAGTTGTGCAACACAGAGTCACATCTGGAAGAGAGGAAGAAATAAAGAAAAAAACATGAATTTAAGCAAGGCTTTATCTCCTGAGGCTTTCTCACTCTCAGACCTATACAGTGGCAGCAACAGCATCGTGACAGCTGACATTTCACCACCCTGAGGTATCGACCTGCTTTAGCCCTGTATTTTCCAGCCTTCTCTTAATTCAAGCACCATCTCAATATCTTCAAAAACCCCGTCAACCATTGTTTTCATCTGTGCTAAAATACACATTCAGGGAAATTTGTGGTTGTATTTAGCTCTGTGGTTTTCCCAGTTCTGCTAGGTTATTTGATTGCATACAGAGGGAAACACATGTATGCTTTGGTTTTATTCTCGGGTTTTTTTTTTTTTCAATTGTTTCATTGACACTTTTAGTCTATGAAGCAGTGATTAAGAAATACTGCTTTCGATTACTCAGCGGTTACAAGGCTGAGGCTGTCTGGAGTCATGCCTACACAGACAGTCTCCCTGTGCTCTGGACATCTCGGTTAGCAACCTCAGAAACTTATTTAGGAACAAATTTAGAGTAGATACAGCACATTATCCTGCATGCATTATTACCTCAGACATAAATGAAGCATGCAATTGACAAAAATTCTCTTTTTAACTCTTCTCTTGGCTAAGCCGTCCACGACTGGTAAGGAGGTATTTCCTTGTCTTTGCCACTGACTGGGGGTTTCATGGCCTTATTTGCTTTTGTAACAAGTGGTTTTGAAGCCAGATGATGCTATTCAAATTACTACTACAAATCAGCTGACAATTCTTTACATTATTTAGCGTTCCATAATGATGAAACCTGTAGTAATAGTAGATAAGCCTGTATCATTAATTTCAATTTTCAAAAGCAAATGCTATACTGTTACAGGCAGTCTCACAGATCTAAATCAGGTTCCTGACTGCTCACACCTACATTTTTGGATTTAACTTTTAATTTTGGGTTCATATTTTTTTGATTGTGACTGTAAATGCTTAAGACCAAGGTTCAATCACAATTTAAATCAGTGGATCTACCAGTGCTCTACAATTCCAAATAATCAAGCTTTAAAAGGCTGAAGCCCAAATACTCATAAACTGCTGTTCCCTCTCCCAAACATGGCCTTTCACTGTTAAGCATGTACACAGACATGCGGGAAATCCCTTCTGAAAATGTGAAACCTAGGAGGGTACTGCTTTACAAATTTTCCTCTCTCAGTTATTACAGATAAAAACTAAATCCCCTAAATAATTGCGACTAAGTTCTACATAAAATACTTTAGAAAAGCATGTTAAAATTAAAAAAAACTGCTGCAAGTTAAATCACTGTTTAGAAAAAAAAACATATAAATATAATTATATATTAATACAATAGTTCTACTTCTATTTAGTTATGAAATGGTATTGTTTTATACTTATTCATAGACACTTTTGTGCTGAACTTCTGTTGTTCCTACCCATTCAGCTTATGGGACTTCATCACTAGAAGGGTCTTACAGCATAATGCTACAATTTAGCTAGAGATCTTAAGAATAAGGAGAAAAATAACTCAGCCTGGTTTATTTTGTAGGTAAAAATGTCACTAACTTTTTGATCAAACACAGCAGATATAATTTAGTGTATTATTTCCCCCAGTTATACTATAAGCTACAATGTATAGCAGCTATGATGTTAAAAGGAGCTTAGCACATACATGAAAAGGTGTAAGTAGATTAGCTTTTATATTGATTCCACTGCCTTGAATGTCCATGTGATTTGGCAACATTGTCCGTTGAGACTAATCAAACAAATAAAAGAACACATTACGTTTCTCCCAAATTGTACATCCAGGGGCTGTTTTACAGGTCTGGTTGCAACAGAGAAACTTCCCATTGATGAAGAATCCTTTATGGTACTTGTTTAGTAAATCAGAATTGTCTTTAATTTCTGGAAAGCACAAAGAAACCAAAGAGAACATGACAGGCTGCAAAATGGGAATGTTCCTTATGATCAGAGTCTGCTGCACCAAACCATGGGACCCCAGAGTGCTTACCGACTCATAGCTCTAGGCACACATCTTGGTCACATTTTTATCTCTATACCATACTCCTCTATGCAAACCCAAGTCTGAAATCCATACCCCCCAGCTACCTGTTTCTTTGAGAAAGAAACCTGGGTGTCAAGAAGGAGATACAGTACAATCCAACGAAACACCCGAAGCCAAAACAGGATCCAACAGCTATGATTCAAAATCATGGATCTTATAGAGATTTCACTATCAATAATAAAACTAATTAAAAGAAAACATTTTCATATATCAAAATATGCTGAATATTTTCCTAGAACTACCTATTGTAAGAAAATTATATTCACTGATACTCAGTATCAGAAAAGATACTCGATACCCTTATGGCAAATCCAAACTAACATTTATCTGTTAAAATAAATTTCTTATTTAAGCACACCAAAAGGGAACACTGATACAGAAATATCTATTTTATATTCAAAGCACTGGTTTACTCTAGAAAAATGGCCCCAGTAGTATCACTGTGCAAGTGATACATTAGTTCTGTATCTAAAAGAAATGTAGAAGGTGTAGAGTGAGACTTTAAAAACTGATTGTTTCAGGACTGGTTTTCTCAGTCCTGCTGCCGTGAGCCATGGTAAACCCAAAATTCCTGAGCATGTGAGAGAGCAGGAAAAGGATCAGGGCAACCCTTGGCAATGAGTGCTTTTTATACACTTTTTAAGAGGCTTGTAGGCAGTCGAATATTTATGCTATTATTTGCCTCATAAGCATTACAAAATATATCAATTACACAACCTTATTCTTCACAAATTTTGTTTTAAAAGATCTTACTGAAAACCTTGGTTTCTAGAAGGCTCAATGTAGTTAGTTTGCTGAATGCTTCCCATTCTGCTTCTGGTCCACATTCTCCATAACATTGGCAAATTAATTGACATACTCTCACTACTGTGTATGCAAAGGAAGTCACAAACAGAGAGGTAGCTCATACACGGGCTTACAGGTAAAATTGGGGAGGATATGTGTTCACAGCCCGTTATAGATTGCCTATTTTTGTTCCTACAATGGCCAGCATGTGTGAGGGCTGCCCTATTCAACGTGAGTTTTTTGCCTTCAGTGGAGTTATGCAGGGACACAGTTTTCTGCTTATAACTTACATTTTCAATGACTGTGATTTTGCTTTGTTGAAAACAGTAGAAATTTCCTTGAAAAAAGAAGAGGAAAATACAAAGCAAAAAGCACTAGCAGTATTGGTTATCAAAATGGCGTTCATGCAGGTAAGCACTATACTAGCCACATCAGGAATGGTTGTACTCTATTAACCTGCATCGGTAAAGGCTGAACATAAGATGAAGATTAAAAAATGCCCATGAAAAATACAAAAATGAAGTTTATTTTGGCATATTTCTTACTAAAACTTTCAGCCTTTAAAATTTCTAATCCATTCTCGAAAATACCATGCATTTCAACAAGTGGGTGCTGAAGTACGAATGAAAGTAAAAACAGGTAACAAAGAACTGCACAAAATGATGGGGCAGGAGCATTTTCCTATCTTTTGTCATGATATTTGAATATTTTGGTACACAAAGGAATAGTGTTACCTTTATGCAAAGCTGCAAGCCACTGCTCCCGGCTCTCTTCATTAGTGGCATAGACATAGAGAAGGCCACCCTTGTACACAATCTGGAAGAGTTTGGGAAAGCCAGCATGGTGAGAGTGTACTGCCTGAAAACATGCTACTCTGCAGGAGGGGAAAGGAGAAGGGGATAGGAACCAAAAAAACCAGGCTCTGTGGACCCACATTGAACTTCTACAACTTAGTAATGTTTCTCACAGGTCACATATTATTGCCATTTCATATAAATACTTCATATTTCATATAAGTAAATATAGATATAGATATAGATAAATATATATCACCTTAACCAAAGTGGTTCATGTCCTAAAGCGCAGTTGCAGAAACAAAGGACAGCATCGAATATTTCTGGATATTCCCATCTCCTACGTACAAAAGACCTTATAGCCCACATGTAAACTCTTTCTTTCCACTTCAGTTTTTCCAGATTCATCTTCCACTTTTTGGCTCATGTCACACAAGGCCAGACTGAATGCTCATCGAGGCAGGAACCTGTCTCAGTAACAAATACTGAGGCAGAATATATGCTCAGGGCAGCTGTACAGTGATCAGGGAAACCTGATCCAAAGGTGATGCATTTATACCTAATACCCTTTGAGAGGTATTTTTCTTCTGTGAATTCGTTCAGTTGCCTTTTTAAGCAAATTTCTAGTATCTACAACATCCTGCAGTAAGTAGTCCTACAGCTTAGCTACACAATATGACCAGTCAACTTCTTTTGCTTGTTTTCAGCCTATCTTCTGCTAGCTTCGTTTGATGCCTACCTAATAATTCCTAACATCTGCTTTGATTTTTGGATCGCATTTAGCACTGGGCTGACTCGTGTGTGTGTGCGCGCGCGTGTCTGTGTTAGGTGATGGTTTCATTTCCCTTGTGTGCATTGCTTTTCAGTCATCTGCACTGAATTTCAAATGCCACTTTATTGCTGTTGTTAGTTAGACTGAAGAGCCCTCGTCATTAAACGTGTACTCCCACTGGTAAGTATACACACGACTAGTCAATTTGCTTCCTGTCTCTATTTAGTTAAATGGTGGAGCCCTGTGAGCTTTTCTCTTGAACATGTTATCCATTCAATCTATTAGTCATTGTCAAGTCTCTCCTGCGACCTCTCTTCAGTTTACAACATCTTTCTCCAATTATAGTCACCAGAACTAGACACAATATTCTCCTGGTGATCGCAGTAGTGTCAAAACACGCTGAGTGATTTTACTCAATACGTGCCTGCTTCCCTGTCCAAGGATGCCATTAGCTCCTTTGGCCACAGCATCACACTGGGACATTATGTTCAGTTGTCACGATCCTGAAGTCCTCTTTAGAGATACTGTTTCCCAGAACAGAGTCCCCCATCCTGTAACTGTAGCATACACTCTTTTCCCCTCTTAACTGAATTATGCGCTCCTGACATAAATACACTAATTTAACATAAATGTGTCATTCAGTGCCGCAAAACTGGGGGAGGGAGAAGGGAAAGGAAGACCAGAATGACACCTAGGATCAACCAGGCAGTGAAATATTAAGTATCTCTCATGAGGTTGCTCTTGGGCATGGCAATTATTGCAGGGTCATAAATTAACGCACTATTCAGCAACCCCGTTATTCACTCTAGCAGCCTGCTGCTTGTGGTTGCACTGTTTGGCGGTGGCACTCCAGAAGGGCATCTGTGGCCGCTTCTCACATCTGCATGTCCCACTGCCCATTGAATTGAGATTTATGGAGGCTCTAGGACAAACCTGAGCTGGGCAACTGAAACGCATGAAAGGCAGCAAATTTGAAGTTACGGTTTTCTCATCATATTTAATTCTTGAACATGTGTAGTGCTTTGTGCAGCTGCATCTTCTGATACAAGGCGTAGCCTTGGATTTCCTGACTGTGGCACATTTGAATGGTAATCAGGCAGTCAGGGGTCAAATCCTGCACTTGGTATTGAGGCCAAAAAAAAGAAGTGGAAAGAGACAGAATTAAAGTAAGAATTTTGAAGCGCTTAATTCTGCCTTAAAATAAGTGATAATCACATAGTATAGTGATCTATGTATTCCAGATAATATTAAAGCAAATATCTGATAGACCTTTGAACATAGAAGAAACAAGACTTGATCTAAATTCTATCACAGTCAATTAAAAATATCTCAGCAAAGTCACAACTTCAGTAATAGGGACTGATTTTCTATTTGCTGTAAATATCAGTAGCGCTCAGCAATATCAGGTATCACCACTTAGGACAGGAACACTAAGTGTAACCTTAGGATGGCTGGCATATTTCACATGAAATGTAAATGAAACAGATTTCATGGCTAACCTGAAAAGGATATTGTCTCTCAGGAGGTGTTGATTCCTCAGGATTTACTGTCTCAACACATTGGATTTTCTCAATCTCAATTGACCCTCTTTTGCTTCCTTTTTTCTAAGAGAGAAAAAACACATCAGACTGTAAACTAATGTTAGCATGATATAAAGTATTCTGGTTTGATGATTTTGTACAGTTTTATGTTTCAAGCTGTATAAAACGTAGCTTCAGGTTTGTTAAACTTTAAAATAAAGGTAGTAAAAAACCTCCTTGGTGCCCTACCTGCATCCAATATATTGATCAAATTCCTTTTTACGTCAGTTACAAGAATTACAGGACACAGCCCTACATCTGAGAAAGCATCTGCTGCAGCTGCAGGGGTACAGGGAAGAAGGGGGGACTAGGAGGAAAAGAAGAAGGAGGAATTAAGAGGAAAATACCTTCAGCGCAAACCAGAAGCCTAGCTGTGGCATTCACAATTTTGTTAAGGTAATGGAGCTTATTCTTACTGAGCTTCCCTGCAGTTTTGTAATGGGATGCAAGTCACAGGAGGAGTCCAAATGTATGAAAAGGAGCAAAAACTCTAAAATAAGTTGCCTGGGACATATATTTGCATTCCCGACGGGAGATCTTCTAAGTGAAAAGCCGACCTTTTGTGATATACAGTCACTCCTTAGGAAACAAGAATAGCTTAACCATCTGCTTTGTGCAGCTCAGGGATGAGATTCTGAACTAATTATGCCTCATACGAGTAACTTCTGAAGCCAGTTATTTACATCAGTTCAGAGGGAAGCCTGAAGAAGGAAAACATCCCTATTCAAGACAGTGTGTAAACATATGCCAGTGTTAATTACTTGCTTAAGTTGTCTTTGGAAGGACACAAACAGATGCTCAATGGCAAGCAGAACTGTAAGAGTTGTTCTGAACAGAGACACTCTTAGGCCTGCAGCTAAGTGTTTTCCTGAACTGAAACTAGGATTTGATACCCTATAATTCTACTCCAAACAAAGTACAACTGTTGTTCTAACACATAATGTCTAATCAAGTTTCACAGAAGAAAACCAGAGGAATAAGGTGACGTAGGAAAATCTTAGAACAGTTTACTTAAAAAAATTATTTCTTACCCCTTTGTCATACTCATAATAAGAAAGGTTTGCTTTCGTCAGAACAAACAGCCTTTTCTTGTAATTAATTGGTGACATTTTTTTCTTCTGTTGTGACTTCTTTAAAAGAAGTTCTTCTAGAATTGTTTTGTTCTCCATTATATGTCCCTAAAAGAACATCATAGTTACTTTTATAACTACTATTAATAAACATAACAACACCAACTATAGAAACTGGAATAATGAATATACTAAGAGTCATTGTCCTCTATATTTTATAAAGTTTTATAGTAATATATGGTTACAAAGCATGTGTTTAATACTGCTTAAACAAATGAGGTTGTTTAGCTTATTCACTCAGTAAAAATACTCATAGTATGCAAAAATTAAGCTATAGATATACTGTAGTTCTAAACAAGGCGTATTTGTTACTTTATCATCTGAGGATCTCTCCTTTTAAAGCGATGCACCCTTTCTGGCAAAGAGCACAGTCTGCTTTATGCACAAATGTATTACATCTGCAGCATAACACAAAAGTCATTACAGAAGCAAAGAGAACGACAACAAAAAAGAAAACCCTCCTATTTACAGACCAGAAAAACATACCTAGTGGTCATGAGTGTGTACCCTGAACTGGAAATTTCCTATTTCTTTTGTTCAACTGAAACAAATGCACACTTATGGAACAGTGACGCATAGAAAAGGTCAAAAAGTAAAATGTTCTTGCACTGCATATATATACATATATACTTATATCTATGTGTTTTTTCTAAGCCTTGATAATCATACAGTAGAAAATGCCAAGAAGGATGAGATCCATCATATTTCCACAAGTTTAGTATGGTTTCAGGTTATCTTACCCAAATGTGAAGAAAATAGGTCACGTCCTTTGCCCTGTATGGTCTGGAGCTCCAAAAGGAAGTGGTGTGCAAAGATACCCACTTCGTTATGTCCCTGTTTACTACAGAGAGCCCAGCAGAAAGAGAAAATTTGCATGACACTCATCACACCCACTTGATCTGTCCACTGAATCCTACCCGAACCCAGAGAGTTCATATTCAATGGGGAAAAGCCCAGACAGAATGCCTACTTACACCTTCTCACATTGCTCATGTGAGACTAGGTTCTAATCCACATTGGCTCGAACACTGTGACCACTGAGAGCCCAGAGAATATCAGCTGAAGCCACACGGAGTGACTGCAGTCTACGCTTAGTGTGGCTTAAAAAAAAGGCCAAGTACTTCCATTACTACTTGTAGAAACACTGACAAAGCAACCTCTGGGTTTGACAAAGTCGTGCCATGAGTGCACACCAAGAAATGAGTAGAGACAAAAGGATTTATCACAATATGTAATTTCATTTAAATATTAGAACCTTATGTTCTATAAACTGTACCTTGCAAGACCTATTTGTTAATAAACAGTATTAAAAAATACAGGAAGATATATTAAATATATCAAATACAAATTATGAAATAAATAGTAAACTCCTACAAGATTTATTAAACATTTATTAAACAAAATTATAAATATTTATAACAGTTAAAATTTTGTTTTCTTGATATGGGAAAAAACACATACTCTTCTTTCTAAAGTAATTAGCTGGAAAAAGTATTCTGTTAAATTTAGGAACTTGATGTCTCTGGGTATGTCCTTGCATAGTAAATGACATACTGGATCACCTTGTGATCTAATAGCATGCCTTCTGCCTTGTTGTCTGTGGACCTGTGGCAAGCACACGACCTAGTTCTAAGGGTGCAATAGAAGGTCAAAGGTAAGAGAAACACTTATAAGACCCAAAAAAGCCTATAAAACTATTACATCCCTCGGTTTCTCTGAAACAGAATACTGTGTATTCAGCCTTTGAGGGAGCAGCTGCTTACATTGCAGCATATATAAGCCACTTCATTACTGGAGTGCTCCAGTTTAAAAAAATGTTTTCCAGATTTTTACTTCTCCTTACAATTTGAGATAGAAAACAATTTCAAATGCTAAAAAAAATCTTGACAGCAAAACTACTTCCTGTCCAGATCCACTGCACAATGCTCTTTTTCCGCTTGTGGAAAAGGAATTACAACAGCTGAAATTATGCCAAATGAAATGTTCAGCTTTTTTTCCTTTTTTTTTTAAACAAGGTTACAGTTCCAGGAATAAAATGTGTTTGTGTTGCACTGCCTTTTCACTGCCCAAGCTGCCCTTCCTCTGTGCGCAGACTCCTTTGTGCTGAGTCAGAATGTGCTTGCACTAACCACTCAGTTGTGCTGAAGGGATGATCCTTTGGTGCAGAAACTCCAGAGAGTGGCCTGTGCTGTGTACAAATTTCTGCCTGCCTAGAGAATTGCAAGGTATGGTATCCTCCCTCTTTGCTGGATGGAGCTCAATTCCTTCAACTACGAAATTTAATTTCTCCCTGGAAGAAAATAAAAAGCCATATGGAATTAGCTGTAAACATTTGTTCCATACGATTTGAAGAGACATGAAGGATCTAAGGATCTTTGATTATTTTTCCACGCTTGAAATTTGTGTCTTGTGTTCCAAACAGTTGTGCTGGTACTGAGGATATTTGCATTTTCTTTGCTTCCGTAACACAGTGACAAACGTAAAAGGTTTGTTCCCCCAACAGATCTTTAAAGTCTTAGAAACCACCCTGTCTTTCAGAAAGAGGGCTGTTGTGAGATGTTTGTCAGAACCATACTCAGCAAGGAAGAAGCAAAAGGGGCCAGAACATCCTGGAGGCTAGAGGTACTTTCTCTAGCATTAGCTGCTGCTTCTGTTTCCTTCTCTGGCAAAGTGGTTTGGATGTGGTGGTCACTGATAAGCATTTTCTAATGGGAGGCTGTAATGCAGCGTGCAAGCTGCAGGGTACTCTGGCTCCTTCCCTCTTGGCAACTTTTATCTTCAGAAGAGTAAGCAGCTGGAAAAGTAAGAGGGAAAGGGACAGCAGTTGTGACAGGACAAGCTTCGAGAAGAACCTGACTAAGCTATGGTGGCTGGGGAAAAAGCCACGTTGGAAGCATGGCTCCTGCCTCAGAAATGCCGGCAAGGTGGAGCTCCTGACTCCAAGTAGAGTAGAAACATGTCCTCCACCCAGATGAAGTAAGCAAACTTGCTGGGAAGTGCTTGCCACTATGGCTTGGCTCCATATCCTCAACAACACGACCCAGCAGGGGTAGGCTCTTGGTGGTGGGGGTGGATGTAGAGGGACCAGGACAGGGTGATGGGGTGGGGTGGGTGGGCTGGGAGAGAGCAGGGATAGTGACAGGTCTGGTGGGGAAGGCAGGATAGCAGGGGGAAGGGGAGGGGTGGGGGGATGAGACAGGAAA